GAGGGGCGGAGGCCTCCCTTCCCCCACTGTTCCTGCCCTTGTTGTGCCCTATCCAGACCGTTTTCCGACCTCATTCCTGCACAAATGGTATCAGAGGGGGCGTCGAATTCAAACCATGTGCAGATCTCCGAAACCATTTTTCGTGAACAGTGCCTTTAAGATTTTTGCCCCCTCTACAGAGCCATTACAGCAATATGCTAGCGCGTGTTTGTCAGCATGTCAATGATCCCGACCACTAATCAGAGAACTTTGATTTATGGTGATTGAACTGAATGATCGTTTTCAATCGATCATAAGCTGACCGTTCCAATTGATATTATCTGTTCGGAATTATGTACGGTGGCAATGATTAGATTTCCTCACCATTCTAGGTTTCTATATCACTCTACTCATCGCTCTATGTAAACATTTCAGTCTTCTCATTGGAGCCTAAGTAACCTATCGGACTGTCGCAATCATACGCATGCAAGAAACGGAATGGCTAGTGAGTTCAAAGATGGGGCTCCTAACATAATCCAATTGCGAGTCGATCGTGATCTGGGGGCCCATGAATTGGAAGGCAACTGAACAGGAATTAACGAAGTTGTCGATGTGGCAGACTGTCAACCAGAGGCTTCTTTGTCATACATATCGTTCGCAGAAATGCGACTTCATTTCCGATCTCAACAGACAGTGTGGGGCTCAAAAGTTCAGAAGGTTGCTAACCCACTCGTATGAGGATAGGAGAATTCCTTCATCGGTTTCTCTTACAGGAGAATTCCACGAAAAAAAATTCTCCAACAAATAATCGACGGTGTTCTGGATAGAAACATCGATAAATCAATTTACGAAAAAAAAGTTGTCATAGAAATCATGTTTATTGAGGGAGTCCCGGCTAATGGTATGACGGCGTTAATTAGTCATTGCTGGCATGACGATTGGCAAAGCTGTGCACATGAAAAGCACACTGATAGGCGTTCTGAAGCATTAGTCCAAGCTCGCTTCCTGAAACCACCCTTGTTCCTTCGAGTACGACGGTGTTCTAGCACACAGAGCCAAGTTCGTTTAAGAATGGTGCCGCTGCCAGCTGCTCGATTTCATTAGCGAAGAGGAATGGCTATCCCGCTCCCTAGATCTTATCTCACTCTACTCTTCCTTATGGTCCCTTTTTAGAAAAGAATCTGACGGGTTTGCAATCCCAGTTAGGAATCATGACAGGAAGACTCGAGTATGGCTAAGTAGAAATATAGGGGAGTTACCTGCGTGCTACTTACGAGAAGTTTGAGAACAGACTCTGAGCCTCTACTACTCCTGCTCATGGGGGATATTTGGAAGGGTAATTACAGCTTATTGTTGCACATTATGTAAGCAATCGCGTAAACAAATTTCTTTGTCGTACTCAAGTCCGAATCTTAATATACCGCGCATAATTTTGGAACACCCTGTACAGTACGAGTATTATGAGCAACGAATTTCGATCTTAGTCGGAACCTCAGCAAAAGGTAACTCATCCAATTACACTGACACCGAGCATTTGCACAACCTCCCAAACAATGCAGCAAGTGCGTGTGAGCATAGTGTGAGTATTCTCTGACAATAATCAGTATATGCGCTAAGCTCAATCCAAACGTCTGAATAGGTGCTCCTCATGTTTGTCTGAGGCTGCTTGCGAGGCTTCGTTGTTGCTAATTTCAGTGTGTATCGACAGAAACACTGGATAGTAACGACAACAAGTATCACATTTTCAGAGAGGCAAACTTGAAGCTTAAAGGCACAGTTCACTGGTTTTTGAAATTTCTCCATAGGATGAATTCGAGGCCTCTCCTGATACCATATGTGCCGTTGTCAGGTCGAGAAACATCTTAAATAGGGCACAGTAAGGGGCTAGGCATTATACCATGGGGATGCCACACCCACAACGGGCGAGTTTCAACGCTGTCGTGGAGTCACTATCTCAAGGGACTCCCATGTTAGGTATTCAAATTCAAATTCAATCGAATTCAATTCGTTGTATGCAAAATGCCTCGAGGGTTTTACGCGCTTGTATCCAAAATGCAACTATGCGCGCGTAAACCCTGGAGGCATTTTGGATACAAGTCACCGATCCAAAAATGAATCGTAGGGAGGAATGTCTCGCAATCACGCGAGAGCTGCGGCCTTATATAAAGTTGGCCTTCTC